ACCAAACATTCTTCACACCGTGAAAAATAAGCATGGTTATTTTCGCCTGTTTACAAATACAGTATGTCATATTATGTGCTTGAGACACCCGGGTACATATATTAGCATGCTATTATTCTAAAAGCCAAACAATTCTGCTTTGGAGGATGAACGCCTACATAACTGAACCAAATATTGGAGTATTTTCAATTGTTTTTATAGTAATGATTGAACTGGTTATGCCATAGATACAGTATGTGTCTATATACTTTCACATGTTCTTGTATAAATCTATCCATCCATCCATCTATCTATTTGTCTTTACATTCATCCATCCATCATCTATCTTTACATCCTTCCATCCATCCATTGATATTTACATCCTTCCATCCATCTTTACATCAGCTTTACATCCATCCATTCATTGAACCATCCATTAATCCTCATCCATCTATTCTTCCATCCGTTAATCCACTGACTCATCCATCAATTCTCCATCCATCCATCCATCCATTCATCTTCCACAGTCTGGCCTCAGCCTGATGACAAAATAATAGAGGTTGACTGGATACAGGATGTGATTGCAGTTTGATGGATTCACAGGCACGACCTGTATGTGTGTGTGCATTTGTGTGTGTGAGTGTGTGTTTCTGGATTGATGATGAGTGACGTTATAGATGATGTATATGTATAAATATATGTATGTGTTTGAGGATGGACCACTGGCTAAGTAAACAGGAGGATGTGGTTAACCATTCCAACTGTGTAATCATTTGGGAAGTCATTACAAATAGTGGCTTCATTACAGAAGTGCGCGCAGTAGCAGGTCATTATATAGATCAAAATGAATCAATGATTCCACAGTGACTGACCCAGCCAAATGACTCATATGAAGAATAATGCCTTAATGCCTTTTGCCTCTAAATAATTGCTCCTTTGTCGGAGGAGGTGGAGGTAAGCTGTGGGACTGGGTTCTACAGTTTGTGGTGAGCTACTTCTGGCGAACACCACTGAGACTCTAACTCCCAGGGTATGATAACAGCACATTAGTTATACATCTGCTCACACTACATCCATCATCCAACCGTACCAAAAACAGCACATGGCTCCAACATGTCTCCATTGTTGGTATATTTTTCAGAGATAAATGACATATATCTGTCCAAGGCTACATACTGTATCTTTTAGGTTCCAGTAAAACACTGTTAAACAACACTGACTTTGTACCAAATATATGCTTCCAGATGCTTCGACAGCCATTACCTTCTGTACTGTAGTCACATTGTTCTCTTAAACGCAGCAGCATACTTGACCTCATAAGATGAACCTCTGGTACAATGACAGATATAAATTCTAATTCCAATGTAGTCCTTATTGGAAACAGTTTTGTGTCCAGATGTGTTGCTGATAAACACGTACTGTTGTTCTTTTTTTTAGGCGTCTCCAGCTTTGAATCTTCTTCTAAGAAGGCAGGTTATCTACATTTAACTTTAGGCCAAAACTTTATTCCTTTGGAAAACTTTTCAAAGCTGACTCTCACTAAGCTGAGGTTGAAACTCCCGTTATGCACTCAGCATTTTGCACTTTGCGATTTTGTTTTCTCCCTCGCTCTCAGGCTCTCCTCTCTACTCCTCTCTCTCTCTCTGTCTTTCTTTCTTTCTCTATCTGCAGCTTTTTATAGCCGTTAAACTGGAGTGTTCCCTGTGGAGTGTTCACTGTACGGGCTTTTTTCTGTAAACTGCTGTGTCTTCTTTTACTAATATTGTAAATACCTTACCCTGAAAAGAGCATGAAGTATGATTTTTTTTTTTTTTGAAGGGGTGAACCGAAAGAGTTCATCTTTATTTTGTGTTTCATTTAGTGGGTTGTTAATTTACTGTGCTAATCCTCTGAGGTTACACTACATGCTCTGCTGTTATGACTTGAACAGTGTGACATAAAAAAAGACGTATTTCCCTGAACGCAGTATTGATTGTTTTGGTGGTGGGATTTGTCTAGACAACAAGAGAGACTTTTGTGTATTACCACTGCAGTACACACTCCTACTATTACACTTTTTTTCTTTAAATGCAAATGCAAAATTGACTAATTTTTTTTTTTTTTTTTATCTCATTTCACACAGCCACAAGGTCAAATAAAGACTGAGAGGTTATCACAGGACTGTACCAGACCGTCCAGCAGAACTGAACCTACTTTCTGTGGCAGGTGAGTTTTATTGGGAAAGGTTTATAAAGTACAAAGACCATAAATGACCTTCTATACTTCCTACAAACACATGCAGTATTTTATATACATTATACTTTTATAATCCTTGTGTGGGATCATACGGGTGCTCTGTCCAATCCCACCAGAAAATTGAGGGCTAAGTACAAACATTAACATTCATTTGTCCCAGTCTCTCGTCTTTGTGTTTTTGGATCTATGGGAGAGAACTGTAGTATCCACAGAAACCCACACACACAGGGAGAACATGCCTGGTCATACAGTGAGTCAGCACGTTAGTAATGTCCTCGCAAGGACATCTATCACCACATGGAGCTTTCACAAAACAGAAAATTTCCTTTCTGTATCTTCCTCTTTTCTGATGAAAAACGTCCTGTTGACCTGAGGTTTAAGTGTCACATCTTCAAGGTCCAGAAAGTGTATTTTTTACAAACTCAAAAACCTACAGTCAATGCAATGACCAGACATTGTAGGTCGAATCAAGTCAACAGGTACAAGGGTAAATCGCTGCGGACCACTCCTGTGTCCACCCTCTACTGTAATTCTTACTAGATTGTCCACTTTGGGACTGCACATGTTTAATGAATGCTTCTCAGCTCAGTAGACAACTCCCTGTTCCTCTCTCTGATCTGCTCTCTTCTTCTTCTTCTTCCTCTTCCTCTTCTTCTTCTTCTTCTTCTTCTTCCTCTTCTTCTTCTTCTTCTTCTTCTTCCTCTTCTTCTTCTTCTTCTTCTTCTTCCTCTTCTTCTTCTTCTTCTTCTTCTTCCTCTTCTTCTTCTTCTTGTGTCTGCACTTGTGTTTTGCGATTGTGATTGAGAACTTCTTCTTCTTCTTCTTCCCTCTTCTTCTTCTTCTTGTGTCTGCACTTGTGTTTTGCGATTGTGATTGAGAACAGATTACTTCTTGGCACTAACCTAATTGAAATGACACAGCTAATCAACACCCGGGCTAAAGCAACCATGCCTTGTTGTTCTGATGGAGACCAGGACTCCTCAGAAACGCACAGAGAGTGAGAGTGGGCTTATTGCTTTTGATGGAAGTCACCAGGTTATGTATTGGTAACTGAGGCAGGAAGATGGCTTCAAATTCTAAAACTGCAGGATATAAGTCAAAAGTTGAGAGACAAATTAAAAGATATAAGTTCTCATGTTCAAAATAAAGCTGTTTTATTATTATTATTTGCAGCATTTCTTTGTTTGTCTAAAGACTGCAAGAAAATATATATATTTTGGCAGATGTTTCAGTATTTAAACAACACCATTAAAATTCCAAAAGTTTTAATTTTCAAAGGGATGAAAAACTAGATCAATTAAAATGTAACACAGCTCAAAGCTCGAAAATGAGTTCTGCAGTCTTGTCCTCACGTCTCATCTATCAGACACCCGTTGGATGTCTTTTTGCCTTACCCTTGTATGTTGAATATTTGGAAACGATCCACTGTGTCAGTTTTGGATTTTATTTGTTTACCTGTTTATTTGCAGATCCAGCCGACACTGCTGGTACATCACGGCAGCCTTCACCTCATTGAAGTGAGTATCACAACAAACCAAAGTACACATAGTGTTACTGTATGGATTAGACCTGCATTATTGATGATCTCCATAGCATCCGTGGCTGGAATTAATACCTCATTTATAATAACCAGACATCAGACAGACAGTCAGAACATGTCTAGTCCGGATGCTTCAAAAACAGCACATTTGGTGCCACTTTCAAAATGAAAGCACTATTGCTTCCATGATTACATTTCCTTTTTTTTACTTCAGTGTAAAAACAACCAAAAAAAGACAGCCAAATCGACTGATGTGCAGCCTCACACTGGAGCCTCGTGAAAATGTTTTTAAAAGGTACATTATTTATGAATGTTAAACTGTGTGTGTGAACAACACAACTGTTCCAGACACAACAGATAAGCCGTCCCAGCTGGCTGCCAGCGCTCACGGACCCAGGTTTCAGAGGGAAGTATAAAAGAGTTGTTTATAAAGAGTTCTTTGAGAGTGTTTCGCCTTGAGGGATGCTGATGATAAAACAGAGCTGTGTGATAACTCAGATAGTGGATGTATGCAGCTTCCAGGTATACACAGCCGGTGGTAATCGATATCTCCACTGTTGCTCTGACACAGAGTGGAAGAGAGGTAGACGGGGAAGAAGGAGAATGTTTAAGGTGGAGCCGGTGCCTGAGAGAATTCCACCGAGATTGGTGTGAAGAGGCACCTGAGCTTTTTCCATCTTTATTTCAAATGGAACTTCTGAATTCATATTCACCACAGCAGCAGTAAAGGTTATTCAAAACCCGCTGGTACCTTGGTGCCAGAAAGGTTAGATTAGAAAGTTGCTGTTGTTTTTTTTTCCTTCTGGTGTCAGAAAAATACAAGCACCGCCAATACAATACATCAAGTAAACAGATTGATGTAGCAAACGTTGTAAAACAAAGGCATAAAAAACAATGAAACTGACGTCTTTGATTTACAAGGAGAGCAAGGAAATCCAGTGAAAATCTCATTAAGGCAAGAAAAATAAAAGGAACCTGGAGAAACCCCTGTGAATAAACAGTCAGAACACCGAGGGTGATTTGTGGTTGTTTTCATTAAATAAGTGACTGAACATTCCCTTTCTCTTTCCTCCAATTTTTTGGTGTTTGTTTTTCTACCTGCTGCTTACTTTAGCTTCTCCGTGATAGAAAGTGGGCGGCTGTACCGCAGGAACAGGATTTATAGTCAGATCTCACAGCTCTGTGAGGCTGTTCGTAAGCCCTGAAATATGGTTTATAGCCGCGGTCCTTTCTCACATATCACTATATCAGTATGCTGGATTTATGGGTTTCACAGAGAAATATATACTGTCTGTTAGTGCAAGTGAAACAGGTATATGAATTGGAGAGTTTTGGTGTTTCTTTTACAAGTTTTTTTATGTCTTTAATTTTGTAAACTCATCGCAAACATTTGTATTTGTATTTTTTGTGAAATGGTAAATGGCATGGTGGCTGATGTGGTTCAAGTTCTTACGTGTGATGAGTTTCCTTAACCTTTGTAACAATGGATACCATGGGATTACAATCCAAGTGTTAGTTTTAAATGTATGATGAACTGGAATTAACACTGTTTCATTGAAAAATGCAGTAAAATGTCTATAGATTGTATATAAGAAATGGAATGTGAAAGTAAAACCCAAAATGTAGGGAGGAAAAAAAAAGGGAAGGAAAAACACTACAGTTAAAGGTCACTTCAGTTAGTGAAACAAAAATATATATATATTTTTTTTTTACAGTAACAAACATCTGATTTACAGATAGAACTTTAACTGCAAAGTATATATTTTAAAAAGTAGATTTTAAAAAAAGTGTGGCTCTGTTTCTAAACAGACATTCATTCTGCTTTTATCACCACATATAAACCTTGAGAAAAAAAAAAAAGGTCAAAGACACACTGGCACGTTGATGAAGAGATAAAAACTGACGGTTCTGAAGCAGAGGAGCAGAGAAAATATGACAGAAATTCCCAGAATCGACCACTTGACCCTCACACATTCAGTGACAGAGGTGTGGAAAATATTCACTTCTACCCAAGATTTAGTTTTCAGTCTGCAGAAAACACTTAGGAGATTTGACACCTGGTTCAATAACTAAGTACAGTGAATTGCACTCAAGAGTTAATGACGCAGCGCAGCAGTGCAGCCGAGAGGCTTCTCGCTTCTGTCTACGCAGCGTCTCCTAACCAACTTCAAAGCCTTCTTTGAAGTCCCTTGGCGCAGACCTCTTCTCAGGGAGATAGCTCTCCTCTCTTTTAGCTTCCCTCTTTTGTTAGCTAACACGCACCGATGTGAATGCTGCAGAGGCTGAGAGGAAGGTGGATCAAAGCGTGGAGCAGAAAAGCCACGCAGTTAACTGTTTTGCCAGGGCTTGGTGAATGGATAATAGAATGGAAGATTTGTCATTTTGTTAGCATCCCAGAAAGAATGACACGACATGAAACGTGGTGTAGGATAAAAGCCAGTTTAACCTGCACGAGAACAACAACACTGCAGAGTGCCATGTATATGTTTGGAGAGCAGAGGTGGGCAGATGTTGTACTTTGGAAAAAAATAAGATGAAGGCAATGGTGCTAAAAGGCTCAGGATATAGATGGATGGGTGGATGAATGGATGAATGGATGGATAGATCAGAATCACCTTCAGCTGAATGAAGAAAGGTTTCATTGGAATACCTCCATAAAAGTCACGGCTGCTTGAATATTGATGATGTAACTGTGCATACAGTGTTTCACTATATCTTTTGGGTCATAAAATCCAACTCATATGTGTACAGTATATATAACGAGTCAGCAATTTGGCGTCACGCACCAGGTTCATTAGAATGTCAGTGAAAAATGCAAAGTTGCATATGGATGAAGCAAATCAAGTCGAGTTGTTGTGCAACAGATAAACAAATGATGCAGTGGTTCGGAGCTGGCGTGGCTTCACCCTACACGCCGTCAGCTCCTGGAGTAGTGAAACAAGATATTGCTCAATTTAAATTTAATGACTACTTCTGCTCAACCTCTTAACCTGCAGCCGGGCATGGCGCCCATGCTCTAATAACGATAATGCACCGCTTTATGAAAAACCCTTCACACAAAAGTGCACGTGTGTGGAGTACAGCACATTTATAACTTGGCATCTAATGAAAAAAGGTTGAGTGGCTGTAAAAGTGTGAGAGAAGGGTGCACAGTTTTTGAACAGAAATGCCATTTCAATGTGACTTTTAAGCCTGCAGGATAAACGGGGCACTACACAGCACCACATTTATAAACAGTGGGCAGCAGAGGACAGGTGCTGTTCAAACTGTCACTCTTGGAATCAGGTTCACCTCCACAAAATTGTTTGTACTGAATTGGTGGAATTGCTCTGGAAAATGAAAAATTACCTCCACTACTTTGAGTTCATCACAATTAACTGTTTTCCACCACTGAAAATGTAAGTGTCTGGACCAATTACCGTCGTTTACCGTTATCTCAGGCTTCTAAATCACAGCAATAATTAGTTGTGTTTTTTTCGGTCCGACTCTGAGTGCTGTTGAGTCAGCTGCTCAGTGTGGGATAACAGCAGAAGAATAATCAACCTCTAAGTCCTGGACCTCACATGAGTAGCTCTTAAAAAGATGTTTCGCTCTTCATCCATTTTAATTTCCATGTTTGTACAGGCTTCCAGATCACAGTAATGGAAAATATTATTAGAGAGAACTGTGATTTGCTCAGTAAATTAGCAGGAGTAGGAGTTAATCATTGCTTCTGTATACTAACGGACCACATTTATAGACAAACAACCATTCACACTCACATTTACACCTATGGTCAACTTAAAGTGTCTAATGTGCCTTTATGTTTCCTTTATGTTTCCATGGTAATCCAAAGCACAAACAAGGGGAGAGGATTCAAAGCCGTATAGAAAGACCATCAGGAGTCACCAGGAGCCAGACCTGTGATCGTCCTGCTGTCAGCGTTTTAAAAGGTATTTTCAAATAAAAGACACACACTCCACTGTGTAATGTTTACAGCTTTAAATCCTATCCATAACGTGACACTGACCACACTGCACACATTTGGGTCGAGTCACGTCGACAGAGACTGACATTGTTGCTTGGTTCTGCGGTAAACATTTGTCGTCTGCTCCTTAAAATTACTGCAACAACATTGACTGTGATTCAACAACACGTTTGTTGTACTGTGTTCTACACCCAGTGGAAAGAACCTTTGAATTTTATGATAGTCCAAAATAGTCATGTGACCCTAAATGTGGAACTAAGCATTAATGTTTGAAATAACTGTAATTCACCTGCCAAGTCCCTAAATAAGTGTCAAAAGCGTTCTTAGACTGCTAACTTGTTTCAGTGACATCAGTGATGTCATCAGTGATACCGCTCAGAATTTCATCATGTCACAGTGCGGTTTGATGAGGTTCACTCCAGCATTCCTGACCCACAGTGTCATTTCAGCAGTCCTTCAGGTTGCTGTGCCTCCTGCAGGAATTTATTTGCATCTCCGTCTCTAAGATGTTCTGACATTCTTTTCCTCACTGCCTCTCAGTGTCCAATCTGACCTCAAACAAATGTGTGATTTATTTTTCCTTCTCCCTCACAGCTGCGTTGCTGCTTTTCATTTGGTTTATGATGTTTAGCGCTGGATTTTCTGGTTACTCTTTCCTTCATTTGACACTTAGTTCTTTCTTGGAATGGAAACCTGACAGTTAAAGAAGATGTTGAGAATATGTTTTTAATACTGAAGGAAAAGTTCAGGGCCAGAGCATTGTGTGGTGGAGATGTGGAGCAACAGCTGCCAATGGATTAGTCTCTCTCTATACATGAGCAGCGAAGCGTTTTGCAAACGTGAGTGAGTGTGTGTGTGTGTCCCTAGGTTTATGTTCATGTGTGTGCTTTTAGATGGAGCGCTAAGCTTAGCTTCCATTGCTGGGTGGTGGTTTGTGTTCTTTTAGTTGGATAAGAGCATAGCAGTGAAAGGACAAACCTAATCCAGCAGAGCTGAGCAGCAGAGGCATGGAAGACAAAATGTATTGGCTCGACAGGATGGCAGTTAGACCCAGGACCATTTAACAGACTGACCAGAACACAGCTGTCCCCCATATGCTGCCAAATGATTATTTTACCGGTCAAAAGCATGGTCTGAAATTGTTCATTTTGTACCTCGTTCATTTGTCGAAACAAAAGTGTTACACACAAATAAAAAGGGGGGCTACGATTGAGACATCGATCTAAACACAAACAAATAGTAACGCTCATCGTGAAAACAGTTCCGTCGTGAGGAATAAATAGTTGATGAATGTGCCCCCTCTCAACAGACGGTTTCATGCATTGTGAAATATTTGTAAACAGACCCATCAAAATGTTGGTCATTCACCTCACAGCAGTGGGGCAGAAAATAAAACTCGCAAGCTCTCAGAATTTCTCATCAAGGCTCTCGAGCTCAGCATGGGAGTAATCTTGCAAATGGCTCTAATCTTGCAAAGTGTTTTGGACAGTCGTATGACGAGGCCTATGAGGATTTTCTTGCAAAACATAAAAAGCCACTGGATGAAGAAGCTAATTTGTTTCTAATTTCAGAGGCAGAATTTTACCAGGTACTGTTACACACGTTGCATGTGCAGTTTAGCGCTATTAGGGAAATGAACCCGGGACAATCGATCATTAAAACGGCAACAAATAGCATTTTGTGACTGTTGATAAATGTTTAATGATCGCATCAATAAATGACGATGAGAGTTGAGTGTTCCTCGGAGGAGGAAATGGAATGTTGAAAATCAGCTGGTCATTACTGCTCATTTGAGTGTCAATAAGAATTTACATGTTATTCCTGGAATCATACTGTTTGTCCACAGTGAACAGAGAGGACAGATTAGAGGACAAAAAAGACAGGCAGACGTGAAAACAACTATTGCAGAAGTACTTAAGATAAAGGGAGGGGAAATACAAAAAGGGAAGAAAGTTGTTCACAGGTTAGTTTCTCAGTGCACCGTTTTTAAATTTTACAACCCATTGTAGGTAAATGTGAAGAAACAAATTGCGTGGCTTTGTGAACCCATGTGAAGAAACAAATTGCGTGGCTTTGCAGGCTCAGTGCAAAAGAGGAAAACAAAACAAGAGAAAATAAAATAAAAATAAAAGGAACCATGCCGGCTTCCTCTTGGTTTTTGTTAGTTCTCTAATATTTGTAGTCATGCGACACACACTCATTTTGTCATTTCTACGGCCAGCAGTGAGCCACATGAAAGTTGTCCGTTTCACCCGACGCATCAAAATGCCAAGCATGGACATTTATCCACAACCTCACTGCACTACGTGACTGCAGTTTGAAAGGCGAACAAATGACAGTGGCTCCGTATTAGTGATATATTTACATAAAATCAATTTTACTTTTCTGAAGTGAAAGGTCAATACAAATGACCGGTTGGCTGCTAACTTAGCCTTCTATTAGCCGTCTATCAACAGTCTAGCAAATTGCCTTCCCTGCTCATCTTGGGGAGCTGAAGAAATTGGAAAAGTGTGGAAACTATTTTTTGAATGTCATTTCAGAATGTCAAGCCATGGATTTTGTGTCAAATTCTCCAAAAAAGTTATCTTATAATGTTTTGGGATTTTTGCCATAAAGATTTGACTCCACTGACAATAATACCTCTCAGCAGGATGTAGTTCCTACACAGCTTGAGGTGTCTGAGCTGAAAGACTCATCCTTGCTTTTCTTTACGGCTGATAGAGGAGGAGGAGTCGTTTTCCTGTCGATCAGATATCCACACGTCCAGTTCTGTCACCTTAAATGCACAGAATACATTATTTTTATAATAAATGAGTTTAAAATGTGGAATTTATCTGACAGTTACTGAAATCTCCACAGCGTGATGCAAATGAGGAGTGAGCTGGAGTGTAAGGTGAGGCTGTGCTTAGAATTCATGCTATATACCCAGCTCCTGGTAATGAGTGTAGGAGGAGGGAGAGGAAATAAGACAGGGGTAGTGAGTGTGAGTGTGAGTGTGAGTGTGAGTGTTTTGCAACCGTTCACCTTTGATTTAGCAGTAATTAACTTCTGTATTTACCTTCAGTTTATCAAGGTTCTGCTCTTAAATTTTATTTTTGTTTCCTTGTGGTCCGTCGCTGTCATGGGACAAAATAAACTCTTTACATACACTTTATATCTTTAAAAAAAAAAAAAAACTTTTTTTCTGTGACTTGCCTCACTTTGACTAAGCCCATGTGGTCGTCATGGTTACTTGGCGCCGCCCACTTCCAATTGGGTTGCGGCCACGGCTGATGATGGTTCCATCTCTGACTAAAGTGAAAGTGATGCGACTGCTGGTTTCTGTCTCGGTGCATGAGGGCTGGCTACAGGAAGATGGAGAGAGGGGGAGAAAATGAAGGGAAGGCTGGAGAGCAAGGGGGTTCAGAGGGGACAAACTCAGAGATAGATTTATCAATCCATCTATCCATCTATCCATCTATTTACTCTGCCTGAACTGTTTGTCTACTTTTTTTTCTAGTCTTTCAAACTACCATTTAAAGGTTCATCAGATACAAATCTTCAATCGTTAGTTACATGGTAACAAATATCGTTCCTGACACCTAGCAAATGGATTCATGATGACATCATTTTGTTGTATCCAAAATTATTTTAAAAAAGCACCAGCATGTGCTCATTAAAAAAATGTTGTTTAAAATGTTTTGTTTTGTTTTTGCAGCCCTTCAAATAGATTACAATAGTAGTTACATCTGAGTAGTACACACATCCGAGAATGGATTTCAGCCTCCTCTGCTTCCTGTAGCCTTATTTATGCAGGTAATTATGCAAAGAGCAGCAATCTAATCACTACGGCGCCCGCGGCCTAGTTAGAGGATTGGGCATGTTTACTGGGGATCGTCCAGGTCCAGCAGGGCTGTGGTGTGTTGAGCAAGTACCAAAAACTCTCCCGCTCCCTGGGTGTAGTATAGTGCTGCCTCTTGTTTCATAGAAGAATGGGAAAAACATGCTAATGCCATGTGGAAAGACCATCAGTGACCGAGTGGGATTTAATGAATGACCTTCTCTCTGTAAGGCAACCATGAGGCCTGTCTTTCTCATGTGTGCTGGGATATGTTGTTCATCAGCCACTGATAAATCAAAACTACTCATTTGTATCATTAGCTGCTTTTGACAAGTGTTACTATACTATAAAACAGTATTACAAAAGTGCTCGTACTACTCAGCTTACTACACGGCATATTTGTACACCTGATTACACTTTGCATATACCTCACTGCTATCCACGAGCCGTTCTGCACAGCACAGCATCTCCAATTGAGAAGGTCCTCCCAGGAGGACCCTTCTGTCCCTCAGCCATCTGACCTTTGACCCTTTGACGTCTAATTACCGACACTCGTTTTTTAATGTGGGAAAGCAGCAAAAGTGCAGAGCTGAGGAATGTGCAGATAAGAGCTCACCCTGGGCAGCTTAGACCACGGTGGAGTTCGAGTCAAGGACTTCCACGCTGTCACAGAGTGAATCTCCCACAGTCAGCAGTGTTTTCACGCAGGAAGTTGAAGCCTTTTTAGGCACGGTCGCTCTATGAAGTTCAGACATTGGATAAATAACTTAAAATAATCTTGGGTACAGACATGGCATAACCTATTTTAAAATGTATTAAAGACTGTGGTATAGAAACACGCAAACTCCCTCCACATTAAGACCGGGAATTGAACCACAGACCTTGTGACATTTTCATTGCACACTCATAATTGGCAATAACACATGCTCATGGTTGATGGTCAGGTAGTGCTCCTTGTGTAGAGTTTCCTACAGTTAATACAAATGAACCTTTTCTTATTTTTAACCCATGGTCTGCCAGTGTAAAGACAGAAATATTGGTGCGTGTGGTCAGTCCTGCTACTAATACCTGTTACCTACTACAATAGCTGCACTAGTGTTGTACACTGTAAATTGTAATTGACAGCTTTACTGAGATTTTTTAAG